GATACTGTACAACTCCTCATGATTCCATCATTTACTCATTTGTTGCCAAATTGCCTAAATACTATCTGAAGGTCATCATTATTTTGAGAAAACATGTTTTCTCTTCCTTAATCCTCCCTTCTTTTAACTCACCTTTTTTTATATCTTTAAAGAATACAATCTTAATTTCAATGTCCTCTCAAAAAATTTTCAAAATATATCTTAAATTAAAGTGTATTTTACTCTAGTTCAAAAAACACTAATTTGACTAGACATGTGGATGAAGAGGCTTAATTTCAGATGAATTCAAGATAGCTTGAATGAACCACATTTACGAGAATTTAAAGTGGGCAAATGGATCAGTCATCACAAGATGGAAATAATAATATTATTTTTTTATTAATGGAATAGGATTCTCAAAATTTCCTTATAAAATTTTTTTCGCAATTTTATGTGCTAAATAATTATGTTTGAGTTTAACCATTTACTAACATATCTTGTAAGAGAACATTTCATGAAGTGATAGGTTTTCCATCAAAGCCGACAACTTTATTTGTGCTTTAGCTTCTCTCTTAGGTGATAAGGTGTTTATCATAATAAAATTTTAATGTTGTAGTTCTCTATGAAGAAAAAAATTATGATAGATCTACTCAAATCTAGTGGTACTCGAATCTTCTCCTTTTTAGATGTTGGAAGTACGAGACTTGTCTTCAATGAGCAGTTTCAAGCATCGTCTTAGAAATTTTATGTGGTCACCATTATGTTAAAGAATACGACAATCATAAAGTTTAAGAAGCCTAGAGAAAAAAATTTTATTACATTAACGCTTGGCCAAAATCTTATATTTATAAAAAACAATAGTATTGACATCAATTATATTGAAATTAACAAAGTTTCAACAAAGTTTGATGAAAAATTCATTAACAAAGTTTGAACTAAGAGTAGGTTCTAAAGGAAGAATTGGTTGTATCAAAGTCAACTTCTTGTAAATGAATTACAAGTACAATGTCGACAATTGTTTAATTTAGGTTTTAACTTTAAAGGTTGTCTTGCACAGAATGACATTCTAATCTTCTTCTTTTGCTTAAGTGCCAAGTGGTTCCAAATCTTCACCAGAGACGAGACAGATAGAGATTTTTCTTCATTCTCTTAGGTATTCTTCAGGGATTACTATAGTACCATTCTTGTGTTTTGTTTCCTATCAACCCTCAAAAGTGAAACATTCTTCAGTTGTGTTGTCGAGCATCCTATCAAACATACAATTATTAGAACATCTATCCTTTTCCATTTCTTTAGGTTTTCGAGGCAAGGGATGTTTAAAGCTCTGATTCTTAGAAAGATTGTTGAACATCTTTTTGACGATTTAATTTTTAAAACGGTGAATTTGTTTCTTCTATTTCTTAAGTGAAACTTTAAATTTTTCTTGTCTTTCAGACTCATACAGTTGTTGTCATTTTGATTATGATATAAAATTCTCATTAATCTTAGCATGTTGAGAGTATGCATGTACTTACATCAGAGTTAGATTTTCATTAACTGAGATAGCATTCATAACTTTCAATATCCTTTTCTTCAATCTTGCTATAACTTTATCCTTTTGTCTTAGTTGATTTAGAAGACGTGCGGCTACTGGTGTTGAGATTATATTTTGATTTACCAAAATATCATTCATAACTTCACCTATTCTTTCTCTAATCTTTTTATTTGTTCATCTTGTTGTCTCGGTCGATCCAAAAGTTGTCGGGTTGTGTTCGGTACAATATCTTTCTCAAACAAATCATCTTGTAAATCAATGTTTCCTTCTTATCATTTTCTCAGTGAAGCTCTAGTCTCAACCATCATAATGACGACAGTCTCTTCTGAAACTTCTAAAGTTTCATGATCTTCTTTGAGAGCTTTGATGCTAGTTTCCAATTTACGTAACATTTCATCAATGGATGTATCGTTGACATTCTTCAGATGAATTGAGAGGTACTCGGGAGATGTCATCTTCCTCCAGCAGGGATAAAAGAAAGGATGTTAATAGGAAGTCTACACTTGAATCTCTGAATTTGAATGAATTTAAGATTAAATTTATTTGAAAAGGGAACTCAACAAGAAATTTATTGTTGGATCCTATTCACAAGGTGACAAGTAAATGTTTTATTTTTTTTAAATAATTTTAATTTTCAGTTTGAGGCTTAGAGTTTCATTTTCTTTTCAATAAGTTTTTGCTTGAATGGTTTTTTTAATTTTAGCTTGAAATGCTGAGCTTTGTTTCAAATTTATTCTTAGAGAGTTTAGATTGAAAGATTTGTTTTGAGCAAAAATTAGTAATGGACAGAGCCAGACTTGAATAGAAAAATCAGAAGACTCTAAATTGACTCAAGGTGCGGAACTATACGCTAAGAGTCGAAAGAAATGATCCTAAAGTTTTGTTGGGCTGTGTTCGGAACTAACGGGCATATTACGGCCCCGTTTAATAGTCTTATATTTCAAAATCCCATGCTGAATTTGATGACTAGGTTGTTTTTTAAGTCTGCTCAACTACCAGATTGACACTGCTTTTGAAGGAGGAAATGAGGCTTCCTAATGACATCTTCCTACAATCAAGAAAAAGAAGAGTTGAATATCGTCTTAATCACCATGTTTATGTTGTGAAATTTTAATTTAAGAAAATTTTGGAAACAAAATTAGCTTTTTGATGTTGATTATTTGTGAGTTTACAAAGATATTAAGAGTTAAAATTTCATCAAGACTTGATTGAAATGAATCCGTCATAAATCAAATCTTATATTAAACAGATTGGCAATTTAAATTTTCATTAAGATTTCAAAGATTCAAAAGCGGGATATCTTTTGCTTATTGAATTTCTATCAGAACATTTCTTTGGGGCTATTAAGATTTAGCTATTGATAGCACTTGAGATTCGGACCCATAGACACGTCAATTTTATATATTTGGTTTAAATGTTTTAAAATTATTTTAGATTATTTATTATTAAATTAATTTAGTTTAAATTATATTAAATTATTTTGAAATTAGTTTCAACTAATTTTGCTTAATTTAAGTTATTTTAAATCATTTTACATTCTTTTTAATATTTGTTTTTAAATTTCTTTTAAATGAATTTCAAGTATTTTAATATATTTTTAAAAGTTTTGAATTAATTTTAAGTGTTTTAGTTTTTTTTAATTCTTTCATCTATTTTTGGATGCTATAAATTACTTTAAACGACTTTACATTATTTTTAGACGTTTTAAAAATTTTTTAATGTTTTAATTTATTTTATTCTATTATAAATTATTTTAAATAATTTTTAAAATGTTTTAAATTATGTTAAATTTTTTAAAAATATCTAATTATTTTAATTATTTTTAATTTTATTAAAATGTTTTTTTAAAATATCAAATTATTTTAATTATTTATAACTTTTTGTGAATTGCCTTAGACTATTATAAGTTTATTCTTTTAAATTATTTTCAATAAATTTTCAAATTTGCTTTGAATTAATTTTTAATTTACTTTGAAATGATTGTTAATTTAGTTTTACATTAATTTAAGTTTGTTTTAATTTGTTATTTTATTCATTTTTGAAAAGTTTTAAAATGTTTTAAAATTTAATCTAATTATTTTTAAGTTTAATTTAATTGTTTTAAATTCGTTTATATTTTTATATTCTTTATTTTTATTTTATTTTAAGTTCATTGTCTTAAAATGTTTTAAATTTATTTCATAAGTTTTTAGTGTTATTTTTAAAAATAAAGTTTTAAAAGTTTTTTATTCATTTATTTCGATAAAATAGTGCAAAAATGACATCTGTTTTATTTAAAACCTTCACAATGACAACCTTTCTTAAGTTAATTTTTTGTTGGTTAAGGAAAAAATACAGAAGAAGGAAAAGAAGGAAACAAAACAAAAGAAAAAGAAAAAAATGATTCCACCAATCACTATCTGTTGTTACATAGAGAAAATATAACCTACGAACCTAATTTTAATTTTAGAGGACTCAATGGTGAAGGGAAAAAAAGAAAAGAAAAAATGATTCCACCAATCACTATTTGTGGTTGCAAAGAGAAAATATAACCTATGAACCTAATTTTAATTCTAGAGCATTCAATGGTGATCCACTTTTTGGCCGTCAACCCCAAGTGCTTGTGGCATTGAAGGGTTAAGGGTGGCACATTATCTATGGGGGCATTTAGTTAAATTTCACTCAATTGTTAAGTATTTATATATCAAAAATAAAAAAAAATATATATATTTTTTACATTTATACCTTCAATATTCTGCATATCACATATAAATGCCATCATTTTAACATAACAAAAAATGGAATATACCTTTTTTATTCATAAATAAAGTGGAATATATGTATTTATAAATTGAAGTGAAAGTGTTAGATGTGCAAATACATAAGAATTGATCAGTGGTATACATGTAGATCTTCCTAATGTTATTTCACCACTGATGATTTGCGCCACCATTGATCGTTCAGTTTGATTCGTGGAACGGGCCAACCTAAATGTGGGATCATCCAAGTGCTTCTGGATCAATTGATTGCACAATTCGCTTCCTTTGTTGTTCATAAGAATGATGATTATTTTGGATTAATTCTTCACAAATACTTCGATATCCCCTCTGACATATATAAACAAATCTCAATTCAAAGAATTAAGAGTCCTCATATGCAATGATTTTAACTCGTTTTTATAGCGTTCGAATGTCTGCAAAATGTTGTTAGATCCAAATCCTCCAAATCAACATTGTCCCAAATCAACAGTATCTCTCTATCTTAAATCCCCAATAAATCTTACGAAAATAATTCCCAATTAAATTATAAATTCCCTTGAATTAAATTAACTAATTACTATCCAACAATTCTGTATAAAAAATAATCCACACAGCTTCTGAATAAAAAAAAAAAAAATACAAAAATAAAAAACCTCGAGTAAACAGACCTGGCTGTCCTCCATCAAAACCATTCAGATTCGCTTCCCCACCCCCGCTATAAATACCACTTCTAACAGACAAATCCACCACTTTAATCAAACCAGAAAAAAAGCGTAAAAGGGCTGAAGAGGCCACAAGATGGGCAACAGCCTCCGTCTCTGCGTCGCCTGCCTTCTCCCCTGTGGCGCACTCGACGTCGTAAGGGTGGTCCACATAACCGGCCACGTCGATGAGCTCAGCCGGCCGGTAACCGCCGGTGAGATTCTGGCGGCTAACCCCGGCCACTTCATCAGCAAACTTTCTTCTCAGGGCGTCGCCTCTCATCGGATTCTCATCGTTTCTCCTGAGACTGAGCTTAGGCGCGGCAACATCTACTTCCTAATTCCTGCAGCGGCGGCGGAAAAGAGGAAGAAACAGAGGAATTTTGAAGAGAAGGTGGTAGCGCCGGACCAGATGGAGGTGAAGAAGGCGGGCCACCGGCGGCGGCAGAGCAGGCGCGTGGCGGTGTGGCGGACGAATCTGGAGAGTATATCGGAGGATCTGTGAAAAAGCTTAATCTGGGTTTTAAGAGGGGTAAAGGAATGATTTTTCTTAAAATTTTAGAGAGCCATAATTTTCATAATTTGTATAAGAGAACTGTCTAGAGTCAGACGGTGAAGCGAAGAACTCACTATGATTCCGTTGCAGGCTGTGACGATTTCATGGCTGTTTAAGGAGGATTATTTATCATGGAGATTTACGTACATATTACTCAATTCATATGTATTTACATATCCACCATCTAAAATTCAATTTTTACATATTTGTCATCTTATCCACAAAAATGTGCAGTTTACTTTTTTTTAATGGCTAAAATAATGTTTTTTTTTATATGGTATGAAAGATTTGAGTGGTATGGATGTAAAAAATAAAATTTAGATATTAGATAAGCAAATGCTCAAGATTTGGGAAAATGTATCTAAATGTCCATATTTTTTGGTGATATTTTTAGCGATGAGATATTTGGGGGCACCCCCCTTGATACTCCCGTCATTTGTTCTTGAGACAGAGGGCTACTGCATGTCCAAGAGGAAGTGGGCCTAGAAGGTTCCCACCATCGCACCTCTTGTGGTTCCACCCCCAATTCCAGAGGCTACTTTTTCGATCTCAGGGGCAAGTTGTCCTCTCATTCAATTGTAACTTCGAGCTAACACGGGTTAAAACCAAGGGCAAGCCCGTGTTAAACCTTGAGGAAGATTTGTCTTGTGATTTTCTTGATATTCCCAAAGGCCTTTTCAAAGAAGATGACTTCCTCGGCGTGGAGTTGCAAGATTTTGAGATGACAACTCGCCATGTCATGGCGGTGACCACTCATGGTCAAAGATCCACTTTTAATGACCCAACACTGATCTTGATGTGGTTGAACATCATGAGCCTACGGAGGCTCAAAAATGCCCATACGTTCGATCAAGTGGGTCCTACTATTGAAGAGATTGTCGCCCTTCTACAAGAAAGATAGTCATCCTCAGTATCAAGATCCCCACGTTAAAGGCTGATCGGGCTGGGTCTAACTTAGCCTCACCTCCGACACAGGTAAAGACAAGTTCGGTGACGTTCGTTGTGCCGCCTGAACATGCAAGACATTTACATGCCACTTCCTTTGATTTTGCTTACCATGAGTAAGCATCTTCTGACTTGCACTTGCAGTCTTTAGTAGATGCGAAAATCAAGACTGTCTTAGATGCTAAACAGGGTGAGATAATGGTATGGAGAAGTACTCCTTACCCTAAGGCATATGAGTACATATTGTGCCCTCTGAGGTTTGTCCCTCTGCATTTCAAGTATTTTGATGGGGTTGGAAATCCTCATCAGCATATTGCGTGGTCTCGTACATTATATTGCAATGTCAAGAATGACAATGCTTTGCTCCTTCGCGTCATTGTTACAAGCCTAGCTGGATTTTCTTTTAAGTGGTATGCCAACCTACCAAATGACATATTTAGAATGTTTAATGAGCTAGAGAATGCGTTGGTGAAACACTTTATTAGTTTGCATCATTGAGTCACTTTGTGTGATTTGATATTGTCTCACTAAATGCCATGATCAAGAAGTATGAGCCACTCATCCAGGAACAACATGATGTCGTGCTTCTCATGAGCACAATCAAGGGCCAATTTCTATCTTGCTCAAGATTACTCTTTTCAAAACCTTCAAGGTCATGATATAGAAGGCAGCTAGCTTGCATGAAAGTGCAAGGTCTTTGGTTCTAAATTCAGATGATAAATCCAAAGATAAAAAGCCTATTTCGGTCGGTCCTTCAAGAAGGACGAAAGAGAGCTTAGTGTTAGCGATGATTGATGGAAAGCAGAAGAAGCCTATCTTATCTGGCGAACAGACTCGCTCTTCTTCTTAGAAGTGGAAAGGCCAAGCTTCTAAGAGCAAGAAGTCTAGGGTATGCTCTTTTAAGAGAGATTTCCATAGGAAAATCTTTAAAAATCTTCTTAAACAGGGCATGCGGCTTCCTACTACAAAGAAGCCCGACGAGGTAAAGAAGACCCAAGAGCCCAACTATTGTTAATATTACAGGCATTTAAGGCATGTACTTGAGGACTGCTATGTCTTCAATAATTGGATCGAAGCCCGCTATAAGGCGGGGGAGATAGAGATTCTAGAGTCGTACTTGGAGAAGCCTTTTGAATGTGGATCAGCCAGAGTTGTTACAATCATTCAAGCTACTCCCACAGTTTGCTTCTACTACAGGTTGTGCAACTGATGCACTTTCTTTTGGTGTGCTTCCTTTTTTTTTCTATTGTAAATATAAGCTCAAAGCCGGAGTATGTTCCCTTTGAAGTTTTGTACTGATCATGAAGTGATAAAGAAAGTCACTTTTGAGTGCTATTCTGTGTTTGTGTTCCGCTTGCATCATTTTGACGCACATGCTCTTAGTGAAGAAGAGGAGCAATACTAGTTATTGGTCTCCTTCGATGGCGCTTACCACATGTTTAAGATTTGAGTGATTCATTAGATGGTGTAGGTGAGAGACATCTTTCCTAAGACTCATCAATAAAACATTCTTCTCTTGAATGTCTCGTGGGAAGCTATCCTATAAGGTCCATTAATGAGAATATCCATGAAGTTCGCTTATGAAGCGGCAAGCCACTTCCCTCATGAGTAGCTAAACACACCTCTCTTGATAAAGGAAAGGAGATCATCACCCAGGAGGTGGATGACCCCCATGAAGCCCCTACCCAGAGCAAAGGAGCTAAAAGTCCTTTCAGAAAGGAGGATTACAACTAACACGCTGAAAAGGTTGTCAACATCGTTGGGCATATGTGATGGTATCCTTCTATCCTAAAATTTGAGGGAGATTTTGGTGAAGGCCCTCTTGGAACTTAAAGTCTTCCATGCGAACTAACCTGAGGAGACGATGAAGGACATGGTTGCTGATCCCATGAGGCAATTTGTGTTTCCTTAATGTGCAATTACTTCAATTTTAATTAACAAATAATTCTTATTTTTCTCCAAAATTTAATTTTACACGCTAGGGATACTACGCAAGTGCACGTATCGTTTCAAGTAATATAGGAATTTCCTTTTATCCCAAATTATCGATCCCAAGGGGAAGGGAAAGTGCTTTTTATCATCTTAGTAAAACTCTACTTAAACTGCATGTAAATTATCTAGGAATTAAGGTCAAAATCGTATGTGTAAAAAGAAGTACCTAATACCTACAAATTTTATAATGCTAAATTTTTCTAAACTAGTTTTATGTAGAAAAGTTCAATATGTATGTATGATCCTTCTCCTTGCAATGAGATTCTAATCAGTGTAGGAATCAAATGTTTATAAATTTAAATATAGTTTTGTGATAAATAGGAGCATACCTATTATTTACCCTCTTCCAAGTGTATAAAGAACATTGGCTAACCTAGAGTTAAGTTTCAAAATCCTTGGTTATGCTGAGTAGATTCTAGCTCATCACTTTAGAATACCTATGTAAGCTCTCAATTTGGTTAACCAAGCTTTAGGTTCCAAACAATAGTTTAAATTGGTTATGATTCTAGCCTGTCACCCTAAAACCACTAATTTATACCCATCAAAACTTATCTCCCTATTTATTTTCACTGCCTTATGGACTAATTTTCTTTTATGGACTAATTTTCTTTCATCCAATAAAGCAATGTGATTTTTACTAGTTGAGGAATTCATTGACCTACCAGGTCATTAAGATTCGCAAAAAGTTTTAGCTTATCATTTGGCGAGACTGAATAAGTAAATTAAGTGTGAAGTAATGAATCATCACAATTACGAAATTGAAGGAATGTTAAACAAGTCTAATCCTACACATGATTATTTCTCATTACTAAGAGAAAGATAAAGAAAACTACTCAGATTTTATGAAGACAAAACATGATATATATATATATATATATAGATAAACAGGTTTACACAATAAATTTTAACAAAAATCAACAAAAGTACAAAACACTTATCTCAAACTTCTCCCTAAGCAAATCTTCTGAAGTTTATTTGAAGAATTCTTCTTATAATTACTCTCAAATATAACTAAAAAATGTAGAAAAATGAAAGAAATCTCTATCTTCTCATCCTCTCCTACACTCAAATGTGTTGGAAATATTAACCTCACTACACTTTCTCTCTCTCTTTTCACCCTTTTCCTTCTTCCTTGTCCTCTCTTTTCACCCTTTTCCTTCTTCATTCTCTTCCTTTTCTCCCATCCTTTAGGCACCAAGAGACTCTTCTTTTTTTAACATTTTCAAATCCTCAAATATTCACCTTAGATGCCCCTTCAAAATTTTTCCAAATACACTGAATTTACAAAAAACAAATGATTCTAGCATTTAAGCACCAGATTGTGGCGCCTAGGCGCCTACCTTCTAGAAGCCAGAAATAATTGACTGGTGCTGAGGTACCATATCCTGGTGCCATGGTGTCGGGCTCTCTCTTTCCACATATATGGTCTGACGCCTAGGCGCCAGCTCAATTTTTTCTCCTTTGCTCTTTTTGACCCCATTTTGCTCCATTTTTGCTATTTTTTCTCCAAAACTCCATCTTTTGTACCTGAAACTATTAATATGAAAAATATGTTCCATTAAAGTGAAATATCATTAAAAATAAATTAAAAATAAACATAAAAAATATATAAAAAAGTAACACATTTTTAGGCATGTTAGCCATGCTGCAAGACATAGTTGTCTTCATTTTTTTTAGGATGACTTATTGTTGGACACTATAAACAACACTCATCACTTGTAGGTGACATCTATGATATACAATACAACCTTAAACTATATTTTAGTTGATCCTAAAACATCTGTTAATATCTTTAACGTGCACACCCTCGAGTTGCTTTCAATAGGTATGTGACGATTGTGCTCGAATCTTGTTAAATTGATTCAATGAAAAGGGTCAAAAGACCCTTGGGTCCATCACCCTACCTGTCCAATTTGGAGAGTTTAAAAGGAAAGTCAAATTCCATATCATTGATGGGAATAAGTTCTTTAGAGCTTTTCTCGGATGACCTTAGATTCATGAATACAGGATGGTACCTTCGACCCTCTATCAATGCATTAAATATATGCGTGGAGGAGAAGTTT